TGTGAGCCCTGGCAGAAAAAAATAAAAAGGGCATTGTTATTAAACTTACAGTTGTGACAGGTAGGTAGTGACAATTCCCATTGTCAGGTAGATCTTATTGATTTCCATTCTCAGCCAGACAGAGAACACGAATTATTTTGGTCTACATAGATCATCTTATAAGGTATTTCTCCCGCCTTCTTAGCGAGCCTTCGTGGTGTAGTGGTCTGCACACTCAGCGCGTAATTGAGAGGTCCGCGGTTCGATTCCCGGCGAAGGCGTTGCATATTTTTCATCTTGCTTGCTTCCAAAAAATACCTAATGTCTCTACAATCTTACAATTTTTTTATGTATTTTGTTTAAAATTTTGTTAATGGCAGTCTTTTATTATTTCTTTGCTAAATAACATTTGTAGTTTTGAGGAATTAACGTCTTTTAAACAATAGCCTTGTCATGACTTTTTTTTTTCATACTTTGCTTAAAGAACATAAGTCGTTCTATAGAATGCCTAGGTAAAGTGTATAATAATTCTCATATTTCATACTTTACCTAGAAACGCCAGGAATTCTATAAAATGCTTAGATATTCTATAGAACGCAGGCGTTTCATACAATGCGAGTAGCATATACATCTTATTACATTCCGTAGGTATTTCTGATTACCGCTCCAGATAATTTAATTTTTTGCAGATAATATCTCCGTCCTTGTGGATGAAATATCGGTCGCCCCCTGTGATACATCCTATAAGCACGTTTCTTCATGAAGAAAAATTTAAATGACCAATGGTGCGATCATAATTCTTGGCGACTCACTAATTGATAATATACCGGTTGTGAAATGGCTTTTAAAAAGGTCGTCAAGAATCATGAGTTAGTCCTCTGAGTTGAGAGTAGTTTCTCGTTAAGACTATTTGCAAACTCAGCTGAGTGCATAATTATGTAGTTTTATTGCGGCTGTTAAAATTCGACCTTGTAAATTCTCGAACAGCGAGTATTTTTAGATTTAAATCTGCGGTTTTGTCCCCTATTTCAGAGCGAGAACTTTGGCTATCTTGATATCTCACTGAGCTGTATTTCGCTTTTCTTCATTTTTGTTACTTTTGTCGCTTTAAAATTACAGTATAGGGATAAGTTTTTTCGGGGGCGGAGGAGTTGTATATCTCTTGCTCAGGACCTTTGCAGGAATAGAATATGCATAAAATACAAAATACATGTTGGCATCTTATTTTTATCTTATAACTACGGCTACCTTATAAATCTTCTATTGCCTGAGAAGGTTTTGATTAGAGAAAAGAAAAATTTCTGTTTATTAACAATGGGGGAAAAAAAAGAATGATATCCTCGGGGCTTCTTCAACATCAACAGTTTCTGTTTAAGTATGCTTCATTTTCATTGCAATAACTTTATGATTACACTCATGTCCATAAATTAAGGATAATTCGGAGTCACGCGGAAATCCAACTCTAAAATAAATATATCACCTGTAAAATCACTACACACATCTTCAAGAATCATATGCAAATTTCATGAAGTAACCAGATGACACCGATGGTACGTCACAATGACGAGAGTGTAAGAGAGTGATATATAAGGAATACAGGCAAAGAAGTAAAATTGTTCGCAAGCGCTTTATAAGCATTTCATTGCAATAACCGAATAGTTATGACACAAAGGACGCATTTGGATGATTTTTTTTACGTGGTAGAATTATCGGCCGTCTGGAATGTGGGCGTACCCAACTGGAAGTATCAGACGAACTTGGAATTGCCCAGAGTGTCATCTCCAGGCTTTGGCAACGATTTCAAGATGATGGTAATGTGAGTAGACGTTACAGCACAGGTCGCCCCAGAGTTACAACGCCGAATGAGGACCGGTATTTGGCAGTTACTGCCAAAAGAAACAGGCGGAGCACAGCCTCAGACCTGTCTCGTCAGCTCTCTTCAGCCACTGGTACGACAATTTCAAGGCAGACCGTGTACAGACGCTTAGGGCAGATTGGTCTATATGCTCGTAGACCTGTCAGATGCGTTCCACTTACTGCAACTCACTGTCGCCTGCGGTTAGCCTGGAGTAGAGAGCATGCATTGTGGACACCGCAACAGTGGGCTTGTGTGATGTTTTCCGACGAGTCCAGGTTTAGCTTGCAGTCTGATTCTCGCCGGACTTTCATATGGAGAGCTCCAGGTACCTTCGTTACCACCAAGAAAACATCATTGAACGACACCGTTACGGTGGTGTGCAGGAGTGCTCGTTTGGGGTGGAATTATTCTGGGTTCCAGAACTGACCTGCATGTTCAAATTGGAACCATGACAAGCCAAATCTATCGGGACGTCATTCTGGAACAACATGTACATTTGTTTCGGGGCGCCATGGGCACACAATTTTTTGTTTATGGATGACAACGCCCGTCCTCACCGTGCAAACATCGTAAGCGAATGCCTTCAATCGGAGGATATCACCCGTATGGACTGGCCAGCATTCTCACCAGACTTGAATCCAGTAGAAGCACGTGTGGGACATGCTTGGCCGACGAGTTGCAGCCCGTCAACCTCCTCCTACATGTCTACCGGAACTTCGGAGAGCATTGCTTTTTGAGTGTGATGTAATATCCCCCAAGATCAGATCGATAATTTGATACTCAGTATGCCTAGGCGTTGTACGGACTGTATTGCATCGTCTGGGAGACATACAATGTATTAACAATCATACCACCACCATGTAATATTGGTTTTTTGTAAATATTTTTTTGTAATTTGCTCCAGGGAGAAAAAATCGCTAATATTTTTAATAATATCAAACATATAGCATCTTTTTTTTTTCTCTTTACCTTTTGTTTAATAAATAAGCTTTACAAATAAGTCAAATTTATTTTGCTTCTAACTCTTCCTTTGCCTGATTTTGATTATCCTTAATTTATGGACATGAGTGTACTTTGCGTTTTTAACCGAAATTTCTTCATGCTTTTAATTTGGGGGGGGGGAGGAAGGCGATAAGAAAGAAACCATAATAGCGTTTTTGGCTGTTTGACGCAACATTTTTTTAATTCATCGCATCTCATCAAGGAATTGGAAATGGACTTAAAACTTTAATAAATAATTCGAAGTGAATCTCCTTGCTAATCTGCGCCAAAGGCATGTATAATTTGCATAGTATACGTTAAAGAAACTTGCTCCAAAATTTAATTGAAACCTGATTTTTTTTCCTTCCCCAATTCATTATTTCTCTTGTATGTATAATAAAATTAAAAAAGACACTTTTTTGAATGTTTCTTCAAATAAGAAAAGAAAAGGGACTTCTACTATTTCCCGAGGAAGGTTAAAAAAAAATGAATTACTATAAGAAGAACTTGTCTTTTCAATTTTCCGCTGCACAACTGCATCGGGTATCATGAAGAAAAAAATTAAAAAAGAAACTGTCCAATTTCTTTCGGAGTGAATGGATTCCCTTTCTTTCTTCTATTATTTTTCTCTGCTGCTTTACAAGATGAGGCTGGCATTAAGCCAGTACCACGGCAAATGGTTAGATGGAAGTTACAAAAGTCGGAAGAAAAAGAAGGGATGTTCTACAAGAGATTCTTCGTCCGTCGCTTGTAATTCGACGTACTCCCTCGCCGAGCAAACAGGCCCTCCTGGACTAGATTTGTAACGAACAGCATCCATTAGCAGCTTAGGCGTTCATCTTTTATTTCTTTCTCGCTAAAGAATATAATATGTATGGCTAGCTAGCTATTCATGGTATTTTATTTCTTACCTGCGAATGTTAATTATAAAGATTTCAGATTCTGGCGTTAAGTAAATTTGTGATAATAATAAAAACGATTCTTAATTAATCCTTTTAGCTTTGTGAATGTTTATATGCATTCGATGAAATCTGGAAGAATTTTTGGGGGTTGGAGGAGTGGAAATGTGTTTTGAAGATAAACCACCTTTGATACTGTTATTTTATTTATTTATTTTTTCATTTGAAGGGATATTATTGTGTTTACGTAACCGTAATATCATGTCTGCAAAAAATGTTACGAATCAACAATGCAATCTTTCATTTATCATTAATACTAGCCGCTATGCAGCCAGCTTTCGTCCGGCTTTTAAATGTACTGGAAAAATGCCTAAAGGGAACACCAAACATTAAATTTAAAAACTGCACAAAATTTTACTCTGCAGAACAACTTTATAAAAAAAATCAATAGAAATGTATCACATATGTAAAAAAATTACAATGAAATAAGCAAAATTCCTTAATACAAATAAGCAATAAATCTCATATTTTCAAGAGAAAACAGTCAACAGTCCAGTATCCAAAGCAATAAATGAAAAACTGTTGCCTAAACGACATTTCTAAAAGAATGAAACTATCATCAGAAAGCAATAACCAATCAAAATTGTTTTTTGTGGATGACATATTTCAAAATATACAAACCTCTTTGCTATCAGCTTAGAGAGATGAGGGGAAAGGGAAATTCTTTCTGTTGTGATTGTGTCTCTCGAGACACATGCGCATCAGAATAAGAAGATTGCGATGTGCGTGTTGCTTGTCCAAAAAACCAAAGGAAAATAAGCAGCGTTTTATCTCATATTTTCAATTCAGCATTCCAGTATACTAAACACTGAAGGAAAAACTGTTGCCAAAACCACATTTCTAAAAGAATGAAACTATTCAAAAATGATGCGATTTTATCAAATAAGATAAAATAAAAAAATTTGATTCGAATTTTGAAAAAATCGTTTCGAGGTGTACTGGCTCTTATCTAGATGCACCTATGTACCAAATTTTGTAGCACTGGGTCTATTAGCTTACGCGCAGCACGAACGAAAGATACACAGACTCTTTCTTTTATTTATATGTAGAAATTGTTATATATTTATACCGCATTTACTGGTCTATTCCTTCCCCCTTTTTTTTACTAGTTTTACTGTATGAACATCAAGAAGGAAAATTTTTGTGAATAATTTAATTTCCGAAGGAACTGGTTACAGGAAGAATATAAGACATGGAAAGTATTCACAGATAAAACTACCAGCAACTATCATATTATTTATTAAAAAAAACTACATTTCAGTAAGAATATATACTCATAATACCTTTACAATACCTAATAAGATATTTTCATATCTTCTTTCCTGTATCTTGAATCTCGATTGTTCTTATTGTTGTCCACTGCAACTCCTTAGGCCTCACGTCATTCAGTGCTGCTGAAATTACTTTCTTTCTGTTTTGTCTTCTGTAACATGTAAGTCGTTTCCATCGTTACCATTCACTCTGCTATGCCACGTGCAATGATCTTCAGAACTATGAAACTAGATAATCTCGTTTTCTTGAAGTTCTTCACTATTGTTGCTTCATCACTCAGAACCCATGCAGCCAATATCCACGAGAAAATAAATTGGTGAGCTATAAACAATATCTATTTTAAACTTTGGGAAAGCTCACTTTCCGAAATTAATGCAAAAAAATGGAAATTTTATTTCGAAATTAAGAAAACCATCACTGACAAGAGAATAATGATGATAAACACATATTTTTTACTTTATTCTATGTGTATTAACCATAAGCATACAGTGAAATAGAATAAATGGGAAATATTGATTCATTAGTAATGTATGGCTAAATATGTTAGCCAAAACAGAAAAATTTTTTAAAATGCATACAGTATTGAAGGAAAAATGGTATAATTTAAATTCTGTAAGGCTAATTTTTTAACTCTAGTACATCATGCATAATAATATACAAACAATTTCAAGTGATTCTAGTGAGCAAAATTTCAAGTGATTCTATAAGGAACTTTTAGAGTTATCGTGGTTGCTGTTAACATAAATCATAAAAAACAAAAAAAATATCAAAAATCGCATTTCAGTTTTCAGATTAACATTTACATGACATATGTACACAACTATTCACGTTACCAAACGAAAATGAGAAAATACATAATAAAAATACTTGCCGAATTCTCTAGACCAGGAGTTCCCAATCTTTTTTTCCCCTAGAATATCTGTTAAACAACGGGCACCATTTACTTTTTTAAGATGAATCTATAGTTGAATAGAGTTAATAATATATGCACATTAAAAAAAAAGAGATCGGGCGCATTTCGCTTTTTTCTGGTATCTGTGTTGGACGCAATTTCCATTTCATTAAAAATGAGAAAACTTTCACATAGAATTGTATTGAAAACTAAAACATTTTTATTGTGATTGCACATGCCGTTGTGTAACCCTGCTCTTGAATGAAATGAAAATATTTGTTATACAATACATAAAAATTGATGTGTACACCACATGACTTCCTTGTACGGATATTAAATTATACGCATTTTTTCTTGCATTTCATTTAAACTTATTGGATTGAATTAAATCTACTTCGCCGACAGCGCATAAACCACAATAGAATAAATGCATTCTTTAAAATTCACTCTAGTATTTGTTTACCATAGCGACACTCTGGCGCTAGATTCACTTAACAGTATTATATTTCGTTCATATTATAACTCATAATGCACAAAATTTATATCATTTAAAGAATAGAATTATCTAATCGTTGCCACATGTTCTATTCAAATACTATAATAAAGCTAGAATGATGTATAAAAGAAATTAAGCAAACAAAACAAAAAAGAAACAGTTTTTTTCACAGACGATTGAGTATTTCTCATTCAATTAATTCAGTTCTCACTTCGCGAGAAGGCAAAAATACATAAAAACTCAAAATATCTATATTAAAAATTACGAAGTAAATCTTAAACACTTATTTCCTCGAAAAAATTCCAGAAAGGATTAAGCATGATTTAATTGGCAATAATAAATGAAGGCGTTATCTTTGTTGTTGCGAAGCTAAGTTTCTCTAGATTGGCAACAAATCCACTAGTCTGCTGTTTCAAATGTAAACAATCAATGGCCGCCATAAAAAAAAAGGCTTAGCGGCACTTAAACAACTTTAAAATTGTTGATAATTCTAAAAATATTGCATACAGATTTACTAAAGGCATAAAAACCTTAACCGGAAGATAAAACAACATAATTCAATCATTTTTAAAGCAAAAAATGTACAATTTACAAACATATAAGAGTAAAGAAACTGAGATCACTGAGCCGGGTAACAGAGTGGATATATATATTTATATACGTTTGGTGCGGCCGATTGCAACCAAAATACGAGGTGCACATCTACATGTTATAGCAGTCCTATATACAAAATTTCAACGTTCTGAGGCTACTCGTTTTTGAGTTATGCGAGATACGTACGTACGCACGCACGTACGTACATACGTTCGTACAGACGCCACGAAAAATTCTCTTCAGAATTAATTTTAAAGCAGTTTTATAATTTTTTTGAAGGAAAAGAGTATTTTATTCTGTCCTTACGTACAGATATCACGCAAAAACATCGTTAAATTGCATTCGATAGCGGTCAAAATGGATATTTTCGTTGAAATATGCTGCCTGAAACTTTTCGCGATTACAATACTTCCTTTTTACTTCGTACAAGGAAGTAAAACGGACGAAAACTGCATTTTTAATTTGCCCTTTAAACTTTCACTTCTGCTGTGGTAAACAATAACTTTCGGTTTGTTGTTTGTCAGACAACCTGGTATATCTCCACTTCTAATAAACATATCAAGAACGTGTGAAAGTTTTTGTAAAATAAAAATTGGAATACGAAATAAATAAAAAAAAAAAAAAAAAAAAAAAAGGAGATTTTAAGCCAAAAACTAGGTCGGTTACCTTAAAAAGCTAGGAGAGATACGGTATCTTAAAGCTATCAAACTGGCATTAAAAGAGTGTAAATAAAGAAGTTCACTGACAACACACTTTACTATACTCACCAAATTTGCTGCTGATACATGATTTACGTCATTGTATGTTTAGCGCTGACGTTAATATAGGAGGTGGTCACATTAGTGTGACTTGACTCTGTAGATTGCAGTTTCTCTTCCCCACTTGCGTGTTAACTATGCAGAATTTAAGGGGCTGTGTTCATAAAAATGATTATGACAGGAATCATGGAAAACTAAGCTTTATTGGTAGCTCGAAATTCTTGAACATTCTCCAAATCCTATTGCGCAGAAGTGCTTGCTAGCTTATAATGTTGACACGCGTAGGGATTCAGAGATAAAGAAGCTCTTGCTATTTTTTGGCTTAGATATGCATTTAGAGAAAGAGGTTTGTTTTAAGCTACCTATTTATTTATCTTTATTTGCGCATACACTTTGTGCACTTAATCAGCAAAATATTCAGGACATAAAATTCGCGTGTTTGTTGTTAAAAATCTTTATTCGCAGCGCAAATATATCTGAAAATTATCTACAACATTTAATTGCGAAAAATAGTGATACAGAAATTGAATCAATATCTGTTGTAATTTTTGTAATAATTATAAATTATGGGTGAGTAAAATATACCATTAAAAATGAATAGTGACGATTATACTGGTAAATAGATGAATAGTTAAATGCTTTAAAAATGTGCAACTTGCAGCTTTATCCATATGAGAAGGAGGGATATCTGTATTTTTCTTGGAGGAAGTTTCACTGGTGGAAAGTATGGTAGGAAAAATATGTTAAGTAAGTAGTTGTCGTAAAATTAGTACAGTGATCCCTCGTTTTTCGCGGTTAATGGGGACCAGAACCTTCCGCGAAAGCTGAAAAACCGCAAACTAGGATTTGCCCCTAAGAATTTTCGTATGCGGGTACAAGAATGTTTTAAATATGTAAACCGTATTTATACTTTACACTTTTAATACAAAAATTACAACAGTATACGTATTTACTTAAAACGTGTCAGTGCTAATTATTAAGGTTAATTACAAAACCTTATACAGTAATAAACATTAATCAACATTGCTTTCTGAGAGAGGCGAAGAGTCTTGTGTTGGTGGCGGAGGAGAGGTTTCTCACTTGACTCGTAGAAGCTTTAGGTTCACTCGGAGACTCTTCTGCTGGAGGCGCTGACGGTAAAGCCGGGAGCTTTACCTTGGAGAGAAACATGGTGATGGGTAGTTTCTGTCTTTGTTTTTTCTTTTCCATTAAAATTCCCATGTACAAGAACATAACCCCGTTAACTCGATTGCTGAACTCGATAGCTCGAACCATATTGTCGTCAATGTCTTCTGAAAATTGTTGCTTCGCTCTTGCCATGTTGCACAATTGTTCCAGATTCTTCAGATTAAGGTCACGCTTTTCAGTTTCTTCTTCGTCTTCCTCGTTACTTGCAGACTTTGTCATCTCAAGGAGGTCTTCATCTGTCAGTGGGTCCGAGTGGCAATGGATAAGGGCGCTGATGTCTCTTTTGTCATGTTGACAAATCCTTCATTCCTTATGTTGTGAGCCAATCTCACCGTCTTCCTTACCGCTGAGTGATGAACTTCTTCAGGAGTGAAGCCTGGATAGTCGTGCACCACGTCGCCATAATTTCTTCCAGCTAGAATTTATGGTCTTACTCTTCATGTCCTTTAATGCTCGCTGAATATGAGACAAACATGAGGCAATGTCGTAACTTCGCCAGTATGCTTTCAAGGTGAATTCGCCATTGTCATCGTCAACTGCCGAGATGAGGCCTTCCATCGTGTAGAGTGCTTTAAAGGCACGAATGACACCTTGATCCATCTGCTGAATTAGAGATGTAATGATCGGGGGCAGACACTCTATCTGCACACCGTCATATTGCAGTTCCGTTACATGGCCTCCTGCACAGTCCATCAGGAGAAAGACCTTAAAGGGGAGGTCCTTTTCAGCCAGATACAGCTTCATCTGGAGAATGAAGCAATTGAGAAACCATTCAAGGGTCAGAGATTTCGTTATCCAGGCCTTGGAGTTATGCATCCAGAACACAGGCAACACAGCCGTATTTTTGTTTTTTAATGCCCGTGGATTTTTTGCTTTATAAATAAGGCCAGTCTTAAGCATAAAATCTGGAGCATTGCCAGCCATGATGACAGTCACACGGTCTTTGTGAGCCTCAAAGCCTGGCCTCTTCACTTCGTCTTTGAAGAGGAATGTACGCGAAGGCATCCTCTTCCAAAAAAGGCATTTCTCATCCATGTTGAAAACTTGTCCAGGGAGGTAGCCTCCCTTACTGATGAGATTAGGAAACTCTTCTTCCACGTAACGACAAGCAGAATCCTTGTCAGCAGAGGAAGCCTCACCATACAAAAGCACGTTTCTGAGGCCTTATCCTTTTTGAAATTTTTCGAACCAACCTTTGCTGTCTAAAAAGCCTCGTCCTCGAGGAGACGAATCACTCCTGGCAGCGCTATTACTGGCTTGAGGTTCGTCAGCACCTTCTTTAGCCTCTTCATTGTCGTCATCGGGCAAGATTTGGTCGTAGATAGCTTTGACCTTTGTTCTGATCATATTAGTGTCCAAACTCACTGTGTCTTTCCTGCAATCAGCAATCCACGATGCCAGTGCAGCTGCCATATTCACAATTCTGTTATTACGCGGAGGTAATCACACATTTCGCTTCTTTATTGAAGGTTATTGAAACAGTTTTACGGATGTTTGCTTCCTCTTTCTTGATGTACCGCACTGTAGATTCATTCACCCCGTAATGGCGTGCCACAGATGCATAACTTCTGCTCTCTTTGATCATATCTAAAAGTTTTACTTTTTCGCTGATGGTCATCATCTTCTTCCTCTTGGGCGCCCCGGAGGAAGCTTTCGCAGGGGCACAGCGCTTAGACGGTATTATAAGGGCTTAATTAATAAGAAATGTTATCGCTTAAACAAGAAACGTTATCGCCAACACAACACTAAAATACAGTATGCGAGACAGTCAACATCATGGACAGGACTGGCGAGATACAAGAGAATATGCTAGTTGAGGCTGCGATGATGCGCAGACAATCAACTCACAGGGATAAATCCACTCGTACTCTCATTGGTCGATGTCGCACCGGAAACCAATCACGCGCCTTTATGAGGGCCCGTCGTATGTACTCTGAGTCAACTCATCTCTTTTTTTGACACGCAGGGATCCTTCTCTCGCGCGCATCAGCATAAAACAACGCTCCTTTCCACAATGTGGCTGCCGACATAATTGTATTTTTGATTTTTATTTTCTGATGAATATTTTGAAAACATCCGCGAAGCACTGAAGCCGCAAAACATGAAGCGCGAAGTGGCGAGGGAACACTGTATTTCTAAAATTTCTTCATTTAATGTGAATTGGAATTTTTCAATTTCCCATTGCTTTATGAATACAAAGAGAAAGAAATTAAAATATAATGAAGAAATTGTATAAATTAAAAAATTTAATGGTATTTTGTTAAAGTCATCATGTTTGACTATGAGAGTATTTGATAATGCACTGATCTCGTTTATTTGAAATATGATTTTAGACGAAAAATTACCAATACGTTCCTCAACTTTATTTACTTTGTTATTAATAGTAAGTAATCGATTAGTGTCCTCGAACTAAACCATGGAACACATTGCATTTTTATACCTTTGTTTGAAACGTTCATTCTTATCGTTTTCTATTAAACTATGAAGGTTGAAATATTGTTTTCGCTCGAAATCTACTTTCCAGTCGATTGATAAATAGGTAACTCAATTAAAAAACAGAAGGCGGGATGAAATGGCAAAATATCTGCATAAATTAAAACATAAACGTAAGTTATATATGGATGCATATTTCGATAGATGTAAATATAATGGAATTGGTCTCCAACTGTAATGCTCGTTCGAAGGATGCCAAAAAATAACTTATTTCAGAGGGACCATTTTTAAGAATTGATGGTATAAAAATGCCATTAAAAATCACTCTCAGCGTTTTCCTAGCACGTGATTTGCTCTTATTTCTTCAAAAATAGATTCAAAGTGTATGGGGAGAGAAGGGTAAAAAATCTTTATCTTTAAGGTAAGCCATTGTAAGAAATAAAATACACAGATGTATGTGATTCAAATGAAGCAATCTATATTCGTGCATGTATATATATTTTCTTTTCTATTTCAGTTTTTTTTTTAATAATACCATATTTCATATCACCTCCATGTTGCTATGGGGAAATCTATAGAATTCGCGTATAAGTATATCCTGTCTTTTTTTATTAGAGGTTTTTTTTTCTTTCTTTCTCTAAAATATATTTTCGATTAAAAAAAGTCTTTCTTTCGAAGCTTCATCACAAAGCACTAAGTGATTGATTTTCTAGTGAAAGCCGATTTGTTAAACGTTCTTTCTCTGCAAAAACAGTTCAGAATTACTGCATACTATGACTAAAGCTTGTAAATTCTATGACAGTATACTAGAAGTATAAGTATATTACATTATGCTTATTTAGAAAGCAAATGCTTCTGTTTGGTTTTTGGTAGAAAGACCTTGTTTATTGATGCAGATATTTGTAATAATTTCCTCTGAATTCATTCTAGGCCTTTGCAAGTTTTTGTTAGCTCATGTGAAAGTAAAACTTATCATGTGGGATCAGTATGATCGACCATAACAGGCATACTAATTCCCGGTTGCAAATATATACACTGACTACCAATAAGTATTTGGACACCTGTGATAGAAAAGAAAAACTAACTTTATTCAAAATCAATGGTTGGTAGAGCCTCCACGAGAGGTAATTACAGCGTGGACCCTCCGGGGAATACTTTCCACAAGTCTTTGTATGACAGCTAGTGGTATTTTCTTCCACTCGGCTTGGAGAAGACATAGAAGTTCCTTCACCGATTTTGCAGGGGTAGTGCACCCCTGAATTCGGGGATGCAACTCGTCCCAGAGGTTCTCGATAGGGTTCAGGTCTGGACTCTGGGCAGGCAAGTCCATTCGATGAACTCTATTGGCACCATACCAAGCCTTGGTTAACGTCGAAACATGACAACTGGCATTGTCGTCCTGAAAGTAACAGGGGTCCAACCCGTAAAACTGCCACGACGTAGGAAGCACATTGTCATCCAAAATAGTGCAGTAGGCATCGGAGTTGAGCTTACCATGAATGGGAACCAAGGGTCCCAGCCCATGCCAGGAGAAACACCCCCAGACCATAATTCCACCTCCGCCGA